TTTTTGTCTTTTTGAGGCAGGGTCTCACTATGCAGTTCAGGCTGGCCTTGAGCTCACCTTGTAGTCCAGGCTGGTCTCCAACTTGCAACGATCCTTCTGCCTCAGCCTCCCACAAGTGCTGGGATTACAGGCATGCATCACCACACCCAGCCCCCAGCCCTTCTTAAAACTGAGATAGGGTGTTGCTAAATCACTAAATTGCCCAGACTGGGCTTGAACTTGTGATCTTCCTGCCTCAACCCCTAGAGTGCTGGGATCGCAGGTGTGCACCACTATGCCAGTTTAATTTTTTTTTTTTTTTTGGTTGTTGTGGGTATTTTGTTGTTTTTTGAAACACAATCTTGGTATGCAGTTCAGGCTGGCCTTGAACTCACTATGTAGCCTACGCTGGCCCCAAGCTCACTGCAGTCATTCACCATGGAGTAGGGAGCGGGGTGGTGGTGCAAACCTGTAATCCCAGCACTCGGGAGACTGAGGCAGGAGGATTGCTGTAAGTTCAAGACCAGCCTGGGCTACAAAGTGAGCTCAAGGACAGCCTGAACTGCATAGCAAGACCCTGCCTCTAAAAGACAAAAAAAAAAAAACAACAACAACAACAAAAAAACCCAGGGTGGGAAAGGTTTTTAAAAGGAACAGGGCCTTTCAGATTTGTGTTGGAAAGTAGGGAGTCAGCCAGGCCAGGTGGTGCATGCCTGTAATCCCAGAAATCTGGGAGGCTGAGGCAGGAGGATCACAAATTCAAGCCCAGCCTAGGTAACTTCCTGATTTAAACCCTGTCTCAAAAAATAAAGGGCTAAGGATGGAGCTCAGTGTGAAGGCCCTGGGTTCAACGCCAGGGCTGCAAAAGGGAATGAATGAAGTGATGGCCCGGGCCCGCTGCACCCGAGCCTGCGTGCAGAAGCCACATTTCCTGGGATCTCTGCCCGCGTGACACCGACCCCCACTGTCTCTGGAGCCACAGTGTCAAGCAGGATGGGTCACCCCTGCCGGACAGGCCTCCAGGCCCAAGCTCGCGGCCCTCCGCAGTGCCTTGGCCCCTGCCCTCTCTCCACCCACCCCACCTGCACTGGGAGCCGCCCAGGCCTCCCACTCTGTGCGCTCCTGAGGTGCGCTGGCCCCAGCCCTGAGCCCTGAGGAGCGGGACACGCTTCTCTCCTGGCTTCGAGGCCGGCCCGCCCCTAGGCAGCCCCGTCCCTCCCGCCCAGGCCCCGCTGTTCCCTCTGCTAGAGATGCTGCCCCTGAGGTGGTACTGCCCAGAGGAATCTTCCTCAGAGGCCCCTGGGCACCCCGCCCTGCTCCCTGTCCTCTGTCCCGGTACCCACTGGCCTGGTGCTGGCCTGACGCTGGTACTCCCCTGCTCACTTCCCGGCCCCATCCCTCTGGGCCTCCCCTGACTCTTACAGCATCCTGGCGCCCTATGGTGGGTGAGTGAACACAGGTGTCTGGAAGGCATCGGTGGCATATCCACCCGCAAGGAATAAATACATGAGAATTTAGAAGCCAGCCAGGTGTGGTGGCACATGCCTGTAATGCCAGCACTCAGGAGGCTGAGCAGGAGAATCGCCCAGAGTTGGAGGCCAGCCTGGACTGCACAGAGTTGAAGGTTAGGCCGAACGACATAACAAGACCCTATCAAAAAAGAAAGGAAAGGGAAAAGGAAAAGGAAAGGAGTTAATTAGAAGCCTCTCCTAGTGGTACACACTTCTCATCCCAGCATTCTGGGAGGCTGAGTCAGGAGGATCACAACTTTGAGCCCAGCCTATGCAACTTAGTGACTTAAATAAACCATCTTAAAATTTTAAAACTGTCTCGGGGATGTCACTCAGTGTGAAGGCCCTGGTCCAAGCCCCAGTACCACAAGAAGAAGAAAAGTGTGGACCACACATGATAAACAGCCATGAGCATTGTCATCACCATGTATATTGGGTGGAGGAAGTCTCACCAGCAGCGCCCCTTATCCCCTGGGCATCTTGTACGCAGCCTAAGCAATTTCCACATCCATGGGGATGAAGATGAAGACCAGGTGTGCAGAGCGCCCACCTGTGGCCAGTTCTCCACAAACCCCACTCAACAGACTGGTGTTGCGCTCTGGGTGTTGTAATTTTGGTACAGTACAAGGGATTGAACCCCAGGCTTTGCACTGAGTTACACCCCTCTCCTTGTTTTGTTTTGTTTAACTTTTTTGAGAAGGGTTAAACCTCTAAATTATGCAGGCAGGGCTTGAATTCACAATCGTCCTGCCTCAGCCTCCTGGAGTGTTGAGATTACAGGTGCTGGTTGAAGTTTTCTTTTACACGTCCTGGCCCCATGGGGGGAGCTGGTGACTGGAGGCCTTCTCAAGGCTGCTGACCCGACTAGGAAGGCCAACAAACTGTCCAGGCATCCAAGGTGGGTGACATTCCCTGTACAGATGACCTAAGCGAAGCACGTTCAGCCTCTGGTCCTTCTCCCGCTTGGCATCTCTGAAAAACTTGTCCTGGAGCTCTGGCCACCACTTTCAGGTAGCTGTGCGGCCACCCTACTGTCCCTGAGGTCTGAGCCATTTCCTTTCCATTCACCCGAGTATCTGCTCCCCAGGCAGCCCTGGGAAGGCCTTGCTGACCTGGGAACCCCAGGATTACAGGCAGCTGAGTTACAGACCTCAGAATTGTAGCTGGAGGAGCATCTGAAGGCCAGGCCTCAAGACAAAGATGCAATAGCAAGACCTACACACTTTCGTAAAGGATAAGCAGTAAACTAGAATTACACTGTTATTCACACTACCTGAACCAGGAAGTCCAGCTAGGCATCAGTCACCCAGGTGGGCGACCAGGGCGTCTGGACCCATCCCTTCCCAACATGCCTTGTTCTTTCCACGCACTGCTGCTACAAGACTCACTTCCTTACTAGGTCAATATTAGCCAAGCTGCTATACTTGTAATCCTACAGGTTGACGGCAGTTTGATCCACTTTGTACCCACATTGTGATTTTGCTGTATAAATCACCCCTGACAGAAGTCCTCGGTGGCCAGCAGTTCAGGACCCCTGCTGGAAATCCAGAAGCTATTTGTCACTCGTTTCCAATAAAACTCTCCTAACTTCTTCCTTTGGTTCACGACTTCCTTCCTCGGTGTTGTGGGGCCAAGAACTCGGCACATTTGCCATCTAACACTTTGGGGGTTGTATTTCTCCTGTATCACTGGCACACAGCTAAAATCCCAGCAGTGCAGTAAGAGGCTGAGGCAGGAGGCTCGTAAGGGCGAGCACAGCTTGGGCTATTTAGCAAGGCCCTGTCTCGAAAGTGAAAATAACTTTTAAAAGGCTGGGGTGCAGGCTGGTGGAGGCCCTGGGTGCAATCCTGCGGCGTGGCGAGGTGGGCAGGGGTGCTGGCCAGAAGCAATGAAGCCTCGGGACCCTCCAACGTCCTTCCCCGGCCTCCCAAGGAACCTCAGGTCTCATCTGCCACAGAAAGAAACGGAGACCTGCCAGCGGTCAGAGCCCAAGGTTTCAAGGTTATCCGACCCCGTCCCTGGAAATCTGCGACAAGGGCCGGGGTCAAAGGTCATTCCCACCACAAAATGGCGTCTGCTAGAAAAACATAGACGGCTTTCCTGCCCGCCCCACCAAGGGGGAGCTGAGCGGACGCAAATGGTTGGGAAGGTATTTGCATACACGAAAGCATCAAGTCATTTCATTGCCGGAGACTGTTTTCTCCGCGCTACGCTGAGTCCCCATTGGTCAATCAGCGATTCCGCCCGCCTCCCCTCCGGCCCAGCCTTTCATGCCAGGGATTGGTCTGTAGGAATCTTCTGAGCGCTGATCACGACTGGCCACCCCTATTGGCCCAAGCGCCTTCCATCACGCATTTAAAATCCCGAGTCCCGCCTCCCCTCGGTCCTCAAAACAACCGTTGGTCCCGTGCGCGACTTCCTAGCCGTCAGGAAGCGCATGCGTACGCCGGCGGTGGCGGCGTCTCATTCAAACGGCCCAATCAGCGGCCGCGCCGCCTCCTGTCCCCTTTTTCTCTACTCTCGGGTCGCTCGCTTCCTCCACTCTCGGGTGTCCCCTTCCTGGCCGCCGTGCACTGCCTGTGGCCAGCCCGCCGCGCATCTCCCTCCCAAACTTCTCCGGTTTCTGCCCGCAGTTTGCGAAGAGAGGGGCGAGCGCGCTCAGCGCCGAGGAGCGTGCGCGCTGACGTCTGCCGTCGAGGCGCGCCGCGGGGGCGTGGCCTGAGGGCGGCTATAAAAGCTCGGTGGTGCGCGCGGCCGGCTCAGGGCGGCCGGGTACCGAGGCGGGCGGCGCTGTGCGTGCGGTGCGGGGTACGGGGCGGGCGGCGGAGCCAGGAGGGAAGGGAGAGGGGCTGCCCGGGCCTCGTCAGGGCCGAGCTGCCGCAGTTGGGCCCCCCGCCCCGGCCGGCGGCCCGAAGAACGCAGGAAGGGGGTCGGGGGGACCCGCCCCCGGCCGGCCGCAGTCATGGTGAGCGCGGGCGGCTGGGCCCGAGAGAGGCGATCGGGGGCTCTCGGGAGGAGGAGGAGGCGGAGCCCGGAGCCTCTTCCGGGTGGCCCGAGGGATCTGAGGGCCCCCTGGGGGCTGCCGGGCCGGGCCCTAGGGCCTTGGCCGGAGCCGCCCGCAGGTGCCCGGTGGGGACGCCCCGCGGGGCCTCGGGAGGGCTCGGCGCGCCCCGTTCCCGCCCGTGGGTGCCGGGCCTGGCCCCGCGTTTGCAGAGTGGTTTTGGAAAGACTGGGTGAGGCGAGGGCCGGGCCGGGCCTCGGGCCTGCCCGGCTAGGATTCCTCGGGGTGCGTGGGGCCCCCTGGGCCCCCGGGACTCCCTTCCCCGTGTCTGCTGCCTGGTCGGCCTGGGATGGGGCTGAAGTCTAGTTGAGGGCCCGGGAGATGACGCCAGCCTAGGACCTGCAGGGTCCGGCCCAGGGCGGCCGCCCCGCGCGGCCGCTCACCCTGGTCTCCCCTCGTGTCCAGAACTCCAACGTGGAGAACCTGCCCCCCCACATCATCCGCCTGGTGTACAAGGAGGTGACAACGCTGACGGCGGACCCACCGGATGGCATCAAGGTCTTCCCCAACGAGGAGGACCTCACAGACCTGCAGGTCACCATCGAGGGCCCTGGTGAGTGAGGGCGTGAGCGGGGCAGGCCGCTTCCTGGTTCTGGCTTCCGGCCGTGGGCCGCACGAGGCACCCACCGCAGGGTGGACCTGCCGGTGCGGGCTTGTGGCGGCCGGGCTCATGGCTGCACGTGAGCCTGGAGAGAACATGTAGTGTTTTACCGAGGCTCAGGGTGAGGCCGTCAGGTGTGGCTCCCCTGGACCTGAAGGTGGCTAGGAAGTCATGGGAGGAAAGTTCCAGGTGCTGTCAGTAGCCTCAGCAAAGGCCAGGAGGATGGGCCGGGTGATCTGAGTCTCTGTCCTGCAGTCACTCTTGTTGACTGGGGACAGGGCAGGACACCAGCAAAACTTGGCATTCTAGGGGACGCAGGGGTTGAAGCAGTTCTACTGGCTGTATTGTATGGTGAGAGTGACCGAGAATTCCATTTTATGCAAACCGCATTTCTGTCAGCACCCAACTTTCTGCAAGTCCAGCCCGGGGAGGAAGGGACTGCCCTGAAGGGGTGCTGCATTCGGGGCGCACCTCCCTGAAGAGTTGACAGTTGCAAGGGTTTGGCTAGCTGCATGGAGCGGTTGGGGTGGAGGATCCAGAGGATGAGGGGGCAGGACTCCCAGAAAGACTTGAGGCAGGCAGGCAGGCAGGCAGACCCACTGCCTGACCGTCGGACCGACCTGGACAGGCACTTGGTAGAGGCAGAGATAAAAAAGCAGGGAGTGATGTTTATCTAGGCCTGTGTTGGGGCCTGGAGAAGAGGCCAGTTCAGGGTTGCATGGAATGTGACAGCTTCCTGCATTGTCTTGACCTGGTGGGTGGGGCTAGAGGCCAGGTGAGCAGCCAGATGAGAAGGTGCTGTGGGATTTAGAGAGGATTTGGGGCAGCAGCCCAGGATGTCCTGGTGTGGGTGGGACATCTTCTGAGCCAAGCAAGTGGGTAAATGAGAGTTGTTCACTGGGATGAAGAAGGCCAGGAAGAGTCCCCAGTCCGCTCAGTGAAAGCAGTAGCTGCCGCCCGCTGCCTGGAACCTCTAGTTGTCCTCAGCTTTTCAAAGTAAAGCCAGATAGGTAATGTTGGAAACCTGCAGGGACAGGATCAAGACAGGGGCAGAGTGCTGCATACAGGACCAAGATTGTCAGAACCATTAGCAAGACGAGAGCTGGGACAAGACCTGCTTTCAGTCCAGGATCAGAGACAAGTGATTGGTTTTGGCCTTGAATTTGTGGCAGCCCTCCTGCCTCAGCCACCCCAGTGCTGAGACTGCAGATGTGTACCACCATGCCTGGCTTAAAAAGTGTGTTTAAAGTGGTTTTTGCATACCATAGCTCTGGGGTCCCTGCTTCCAGGAAGTGGCATATCCTGGGTATAAGTGGCATATCACTTGGGACAGAAGAGCACCACCCAGGGGGATGGAGACACAGGACGGGGCTGCAGGATCTGGCTGCTTTTTTTTTTTCCTTTTTTTTTTTTCTTTTTGAGAGAGGGTCCCTCTGGACTTCAGACTGGCCTTGAATTCACTTTGTAGCCCAGGCTGGCCTCAAACTTGGAGCAATCCTCCTACTTCAGGCTCCCGAGTGCTGGGATTACAGGAGTGCACCCAGCTCATGTGGCATCTCCTAAGGAAGGAGATTAGGGGGTGCTGCCTTTGGCCCTTGGAGACCCAGCTTTTGTTGCCCTCAAGAACCCCCAAGCCTGCCAGGTACCATGGTGTATATCTGTAATCAGTTAGGAGGCTGAAGAGGGAGGGTGGCAGTTTTGTTTTGTTTTTTGAGGTGGGCTCTTACTGTGTATCCCAGTCTGGCCACGAACTCACAGGGATCCTCCTGCCTCAGCCCCACTGAGTGCTGGGATTTTAGGCATGTGCCACCACGTCCAGTGAGGATTGCAATTTAAAGGCCAGCCTCAGGAAGCGGGATGGGGATCTAGCTCAGTGCCAAGTGCAAGGACGTGGGTTTAGGCCCCTGAACTGCCGAAGGGAAAAGGGGGACTAGGGTTGCAGCTGAGTGGTAGAGTATCATCTAGCATGCCTGGCCTCTGGGTTCAGTCCCCAGGACCACAGGAAAGAAAAAGTCACCCAACTGTGGGTGGAGCACCTGCCTAAGCCAGACTGGAGAAGAGGGCTCTGGGGTGCTGTGGGATGCTGGGAGTCCCACCCCACCCCTCACCTGGCCTCCGCTTGCTCCGCTCCAGAGGGCACCCCATACGCCGGGGGTCTGTTCCGCATGAAACTCCTGCTGGGGAAGGACTTCCCTGCCTCCCCACCTAAGGGCTACTTCCTGACCAAGATCTTCCACCCGAATGTGGGCGCCAACGGCGAGATCTGCGTCAACGTGCTCAAGCGGGACTGGACGGCCGAGCTGGGCATCCGGCACGTGCTGCTGGTGAGTGCAGCAGAGGCTGCCCTCTGCTCCAGACGGTGTTGGCAGTGGGGAAGGGGCGTAAAAACTCAGGGCCCTGGGGGCCTGGCCCTGCAGTGCATGGTGGCATGGGTAGCCAGGCAGTGGTATGGCAGGCTGTGCTGGTCAGAAAGTTGTTTTTGTTTTTGCATACCAGAGATTTTCAAGTCCATAGCTCAGTGGTTTTTAACATTAACAGGGTTTGTGCAGCCGTAGGGCTGTCTCTTCCAGGTTGTTTGCCTGCACTCCTGTCCCTTGCCGAGGGCAATGTGGCCCTAGGGACGTTCTGCATTGTCAGGATACTTTGGTTGTCAGGGCTGGCGCAGACACTACTAGCATCCCATGCGCATCCCACAGCACGCGCTGTCCCCCAGGTGGGCACCCTGGTGTAGGCTAGGTCTCCAGAGGCTACTTAAAGGTTAGGTCCCTCCTGCCTTCTCTGCCCCCGCCAGAAGCTTAAAACGGGCTTTTTGTTGTTTCGGTTTTGGTGTTTGAGACAGGCTTTCTTTTTTTGTTGTTTTTCTTTTTGGTACTGGGAATCAAACTCGACCTTGCGCTTGCCAGGGAGGCGCTTACACCACTGAGCTATATATCCCTGGCCCAAGACAGGCTTTCTTTAGTTCAGGCTGGCTTTGAACTATGTAGTCCACACTGGCCTTGAATTTGTGGCAAACCTCCTGCCTCAGCCTACCCAGTGCTGGGATTACAGACATGTACCACCGTGTCTGAGTTAAAGAAGTGTTTAAAGGAAATTTGTAATGAGCTTGTGGAGCAGATGGTAGGGAAGGGGTGAGTTGGGGTTTCCTTACCCAGGGCAGTAGAGGACAGCTTCAGGGTGAACTCCCCCTAGACCTGCCTCCCTACCTTACCTCCCAGTCCCCAGGCGAGGTGGCAACCATCGGTAATCCCAGCCCTTGGGAGAGCAAGCACAGGCAGGATTGCAGGAGTTCAAGGTCAGCCTAAACTAATCACCCACCAGGGCAGATCCTGTACCTTCTAAACATCAGGGCAGCCAGAAGCACACTGTCATGGTCATTGGCCTCAGGCTGGCTGCTTGGGCCCCCTTAGGACTTCCTGCTTCCAACTTTTGCTGTCCCCTGGCTGGCTTAGCTGCACTGCCCCCTGGTGTCCACAGGTTGCCAGGCCCCTACCTTTTCTCCTGGGCCTGGCTGTGTGCCGGCTTGGAGTTGGGGTGCTTGTCAGAGCTGTGGGTTTGGAACTCTGGCTCCAGCATCCCCCCTGCAACAGGTGGGCACCCTGCCAATCCCCAGTGCCCACTGCGGCTCTCGAAGACAGCCTGCCCAGGCATTGATTCCATGGGGGGGCGGGCGTCTGATGTGGGTGACAGGGAGCACTGGGCAGGAGGAGGGAACTGACCCTGCCTGCCCTCCACAGACCATCAAGTGCCTGCTGATCCACCCGAACCCAGAGTCCGCACTCAACGAAGAGGCGGGCCGCCTGCTGCTGGAGAACTACGAGGAGTATGCGGCGCGCGCCCGCCTGCTCACCGAGATCCATGGTGGCGCGGGTGGGCCCAGCGCTCGGGACCCTGCTGGGGCCACTGCAGCGGCCTCTGCAGACCCCGCCACCCCTGGGATCCCAGGTGGGGCCGAGGGTCCCATGGCCAAGAAGCACGCAGGGGAGCGTGACAAGAAGCTGGCAGCCAAGAAAAAGACGGACAAGAAGCGGGCGCTGCGGCGGCTGTAGAGCCTTCCTGTTGCCCCTGCCCTCCCTTCCTCGTCTTTAAATTATTTAAATTATGGCTGGGTGGGCTGGGGGGCGCTGGGATCTGGATTTGGTTTTCTAAATAAAGTTGGAAAAGCAGCATGTGCCTGGCAGGTTCCCAGGGAGGACCGCCTGTCTTCGGGGCTGAGGTTGGTCACAGCACCTCCAGGGTAGGCGCCCTGTGGGAACTGGGTGCAGCCCGGTCTCTGGTCCCCTGTCATTTGATCCCAGCTCTGCCCTTACTAGTGATTGTGGCTATCTTAATCCTGTCTGTAGCCTCCTGTCCCTGCAGGCTTCTAAGCTGAGGACAGCTGGAGGTTCCAAGCAGTTAGGATAGGGCTTCACCTTAAACCAGATGAGCTCACCCCAAGTCCAGCCTGTAAGGGATCATAGTGGTACCTACTTCTTCATCCCCAGTCCTGGTAAGGGATCAGGTTATACCACATGTGTACACCAGGGCTGATTCGTTCTGCCTTGTGAGTGTAACAGAACCCTCCAAAACACTAAATTGTGGGCATTATCTATCCCTGGCTTACAGGTAGGTAGGAAACCCAGGTTTTTTGTTCTTAAAGTCTTAGTGTAGCCACACATAGTGGCACATGCCTGTAACCTCAACACTGGGGAGGCTGAGGCAGGAGGACCACTGAGTTTGAGACCAGCCTGATCTATGTAGCAAGTCCCCATTTATCCCAGGTACTTAGCTGCCCACTCGCAACACAGGGCACAGCACTCAAACCCTTGTGTGGCACCAGGACCCAGTGGTTTTGCAGGGCTGGCACTCGGAGATACCTCACCCTGCTGCGAGTCCTGTGTGGTCATTTCCCCCACCCAAGCAAGTCCACAGTTTGTGATGTGGCCCACGACCACAGGAAAACTCTTTATTGCTGGGGGCTGGGGATGGCTCAGGCACTCTTGGTGGGGCGGGTCCGCTTCCTCTTCACCATCACAGGCTTCTGGCTGCGCAGGATGGCGCTGGCTCTGCGGATGGCAGCCTGCAAGGGAGGGCAGAGTTCAAGGGGTGTGACTTGGGGTGCAGAGGGCCCCCCTCCCATCCTTATCCAGCCCAGCCCCGCCAGGGCCGGGCCCACCCTCACCATGCGCAGGTCTGGGCGGTACTTGTTCTTCCGGATCATGTGGCGGATGCTGCTGAGGGTGGCACGTGCATTCTTGTTGATGGTGGTGCGCACATAGGACGTGGCTGGCTTCCGCTGTCCTGGAGAGAGGGACCCGCATTAGCCAGTGGTCAGGGGGCCTCAGGGAATCTCCTGGGCCTCCTCACCCCAAGAAGCAGGACGCTTGTGCTCAGCCCCACGCACCTGGGTGGTCCCTCCATACACTCAGCCAGCACCCCAGGGCACACACTCTACTCGACTGGCAGAACAGACTTATTTAAAGCCACACATGGAGCAGAGGTGCTGCTTTAAATCTAGGCCACAAATCGCCAGATTGAGCATCTCAGGACCCAGCTACCCTTTGGCCGGGCTGGAATCTGGCGGGAGCACAGGAGACTGTCAAACACCAGCTGCGGCTGCAAGACCTGGCCCACCGCGGAGGTGACGGGGTAGGCACAATCTGGGCTCCTCTGCCGTGATCAAAAAGCAGGCAGTTCCTCAAACTGGTAGAGGTGGTGTGAACCTGTAATCTCAGAAGTCTGGGAGGCTGAGGTGGGAGGATCTGAAAATTCAAGCCCAACCTGGGCAAGTGAATGAGACCTTCCCTCAACGGAGATTTTTTTTTTGTCTTTTTGATGCAGGGTCTCGCTATGCAGTTCAGGCTGGCCTCGAACTCGCAATGATCCTCCTGCCTCAGGCTCCTGAGTGCTGGATTACAGGCGTATGCCACCATGCTTGGACTTCAACATAAAATCTTAAGAGGGCTGGGGCTGCAGTTCAGGACAAGCCCAGGGTTCAAACCCCAGTACCCCACCCACCCACACAAGGGCAAGAACGAATGTGGAGATACCACTATCCTATGAGAGCCCTGCTTCTCCTTGACTTCCTCACAAGTCACTTTCAGGAGACCCCAAAAAGGCTTGTCTGTGCCATACAGCAAGACGGAGAGGCTCCTCACCCGACCTGACACCTCCGTGGGAGATGAGAGGCAGCCCCTTCCCTGCTGCCCTCTACCCTACCAACCCCACAGGGAGACCTCCACCCGACCTGAGTTGTCCTGAGGATTTAAGTTTTTTGTTTCTGAGAGTGGCTCCCTGTGCCGTTCAGGTTCGCCTTGAACTCCATATAACCAGGGTAGCCTCAGTCCTCCTGCCTCTGCCTCCAGAGCACCGGGATTACAGACAAGCCTGAGCCACCACACCGGGTCGCTCTATAGAAGTTTAGGTCTGAAAACGCCGCACATCTGCAGGGCCCAGCTGTGCAGTGCATCTTCAGAACACCTGGTGCGCGCGCCTTGCCTCGGGCGGCTTCACCGGCGACGACACAGGTTAGGGGAGGGCGGGGAGCCTAAGGCGGCTTCCCGGGACAACATCTCAGCCCCGGGGACGCCCTCCTCCAGGCAGAACGAGGCTCCGCCCGCCAGGGAGCCACCCAGCTCCCGCCGGGAAGGGGCGCTCACCCGATCTCCGCTTCATGACCACCACGACGCCCTTGCCGTCGGCCGCCGGCTCCACGCCCACCGTCTTGCGGTGAATCAGCCCATTGTAGCGAAAGGAGTTGCGGGCCTTCAGGTTATTGGGCTCCTGGGAATGGGACGAAGGCGGGAGGTCCAGCCTGAAGACCCCAGACCCGGCCGCGGGAGCCCCCCGCAGGGCCGCGCGTCCGGCCGCTCACCGTGCTGTACGTCTGCTTGTTCCGCTTGATCAGGAAGCTGGAGCAGTTCCGCACCACCATCCACTGCAGGTGCGCGGACATGGCGGCGACTGCGAGATGGGCACGAGGACGTCAGGGGGGCCCGGCCGGCGACCGGGGCCGCGCCTGGGCAGGGGCACCCCGGAGACCGCGACCTCCGGGGCGCGCCTAACTCAGGCGGCGGCGAGGGTGGGATGGGGCCAGGGGAGCGCGCGGGACGCCACAACTTCAGGCGGCGGTGTGGGGGGCGCTACAGACGCCCGTGGGTCAAGAACAGAAACAAGAGGAGTAAGGTCCGCGCGCGGCGAGCACGCCAGCGGCCACGCCGGGCCCACACTCACCTCCTCTCCCTGCGGCGCCGGAGACGGAAAGAGGCGCGCGGGGGGCGGGACGCCGCCTTTAATACCGCAACGCATTTCCGCTTCCTCTCTGCGCGCACGCCGGAAGTAACTGGCCCGGTCTTCTTCGCTTTTGCCCAGCCTCCGAGGCGGCTCGGTAATATTCGGCTATTTCCGTACAGCTCAGGCACCTTACAAAATGTTC